GGAAATTAAAATCTCAATCACAAGCTTGCAAAACTGTTTAAGTGAAAGTGAAGACAGAGTTTCAGAGTTTGAAAACGCTGGTGCAGCTAGTGAAAAGATAAGAAAGGATCTCTTAAAAACAACTAGAATGGAGCTGGCGAGATAGCTCAGTGGTCTAAAGCACCTGCTTAGGCAAGCTAAGCATGCAGGGACCTAGGTTCGATCCCCAGCACGACATACCATGCCAGCCCCGCCCCCAAGGTGGCTGAGCTGACCGTTAAAAAAAAAAAAATGAAAAAAAGAAAGGAAACATTAAAAAAATAAAAATAAATATTTTTTTAAAAAACACAACTAGGGCTTTCAGATCTGCCATCTGTGGTGGAACTGCTGCCCAAGATGCAGATTTTCATGAAAACCCTTACGGGGAAGACCATCACGCTCGAGGTTGAACCCTCGGACACTACAGAAAATGTAAAGGCCAAGATCCAGGATAAGGAAGGAATTCTTCCTGATCAGCAAAGGTTGATCTTTGCTGGTAAGCAACTGGAAGATGGACGTACCTTGTCTGATTACAACATTCAAAAGGAGTCTACTCTTCATCTTATGTTGAGACTCCGTGGTGGTGCTAAGAAAAGGAAGAAGTAGTCTCACACCACTCCCAAGAAGAATAAGCATAAGAGAAAGAAGGTTAAGTTGGCTGGCCTAAAATACTATAAGATGGATGAAAATGGCAATATTAGTCGTCCTCGTCAAGAGTGCCCCTCAGATGAATGTGGTGCAGGAGTTCTTATGGCCAGCCACGTTGAAGGACATTATTGTGGCAAGTGTTGCCTGACTTACTGCTTCAACAAACCAGAAGATAAGTAATTATGAGTTAATAAAAAACTTCAGCTAACAATAAATAAATAAATAAATAAATAAAACACAACTAGGATGCAGGAAAAAATAATCCATCACCTGCAAGGTGATGCAAAGATGAACAACGTGAGACTAATAGCACAAAGGACATTAAAAAAAATATGGGCAGAAGTAATAGCAGAAAACTTCCCAAATGTCAGGAAACAATCTAATGATCAAGTAACTGAAGCATACAGAACGCCAAATAACCTCAACCCAAGTAAAAATACACTGAGACATATAATAGTCAAGATCCCAGAAATTCAGCACAAGAATAATATACTGAAAGCC